TCCTGATTGGCGTTCGTAGTGGCTGTTCCGTACTGATTTGGAGCCCAGTGTCTGCCCTTATCTCTTTAGTCTGCACACTCTCCTCTTTCAGCCCTCCCCTGCAAGATGAACTCTGCTCTGGGCCCCACCTCTGTGGGTCTGATCACCAGTATCTCCAATTCAGCACGTTCATAACTGATGTCTCTACCTTCCCCCAAAACCCCTCTTCCTCTTCTTGAAGTCCCCTGCTGCAGTGAGAGGCATCACCATCCACACAGTCACCCAAATTAGAAACCTCAGGGAGGGGCATTGCACATCTCTGCACTGCCTCTTCCCTCAACCCCTACGTGCAACCAGAAAACAAAGCACATGCTTTCTCCTCTCAAATCCACCTACGTCTCCCCAATCCCACTGCCTCTACCCTGGCTCCAGCCTCCGTGATCTCCGCATGGGTCGCTCTCCCCTACCCTTAACCCCATCACTCATTCTCCAGCCAGTGCCAGATTGCAGGGCATATCTCCCCAGGTCATTCCCATTCTCCTCAGAATGGAATCCAAGCATCCAGGCATAGCCACAAAGTTCCTGGTCATCTTGCTCCTGCCGGGCCCTCCAGCCCTGCTACTTCAACACCCTCACTCCAGCCAAATCAAATGTTTGCATCGCAGAGCTGTGTCCATACTTCCCATCTTCTTAGTTCACTCTCCACCTGTACTGCCTGACCCCCTCTACATTCCCTACCCGCTACCCCCGGCCCCTAAGCTTCTTCACCTGGGCAACTCTTCATCCTCAGAGATTCAGCTTGAAGATTCTTTCTTTGGGAAGTCCATCCATAGCCAGCTGTGCTTGCCTCCCGAATGCCATGTACTAATTGTATTGGAATCGTCTGTCCATTTGCCCTGCATTGTACCAGTACATCCTTGAGGTTTGTTTCTGAGACTTTTTTTCTCAAGTCTCCAGCAGGTCCCTCTGGGTCTCCCCATGTTCTATGCTAGGATGCAGGACAAATGTTACATGGCATGGATCAAGGAATAGGCTTTATTGGGAAAATTTGCCAAGGCCAAAGGTCAACAAGAGAAGTCACATCCCCCAACCCTTCCATCTCAAAAAGAGATATGCCAGGTCCAGGATGCTGCTGGTCCTGCAGTAAGCCTGTACCCCAGTGGAGGACCCTCGCCACACCCCCCAAACCATGGCTCTCTCTTTTTATAGGGCAATTAAGTAAGAGAAAGCAGCCTGTCAATGAGGGAATAAGCAGACTGCTTAGTGCCAGGTGGTCTGGACTAGGGGTGCCAGCTGTTTACAGGAGTTGTCTGGGAATGCCAGTTTCCCAGCACATAGGGCCCTCAGAGCCTTCAGGATATTGCTGCCCTCTCTGACAGGGGGAGGAGGGACTCTGTGCTTGAGTGCTACCTCTTCTGGAGGGCTCATTATCTAGACAACCCAGAGGGAGATATAGGGTCACTTTTTGACAGTGCAACTAGTTGTGCCACACTGATCATGAATGACTGAGGGTACAGATGGGTGGATGGACGGGTGAGTGAGTGGGTGGATGGTGAGTGAGTGGATGAGTAGATGGATGATAGGATAGATGAATGAGTGAGTGGGTGAATGGATGAATGGGTAGATGGATAGATGGATGGATAAATGGATGGATGGATGGATGGATGGATGGATGGATGGATGGATGGATGGATGGATGGATGAATGGATGAATGGATGGGTAGGTGGGTGGATAGATGGATAGTTGAATAAATGTATAGATGGATGGATGGATGGATGGATATATGTGGGTGGGTGGATGGACGGATGAATGGGTAGGTGGGTGGATAGATGGATAGTTGGATAAATGGATAGGTGGGTGGATGGATGGATGGATGGATGGATGGATGGATGGATGGACAGATGGGTGTATGGATGGTAGGTGGGTGTATATATGTATGTACGTGTGGGTGAGTGGGTGGATGGATGAGTGGGCGGTTGGATGGATAGAAGAATGGGTGGGTGGACTGATGGATGGGTGCTTCCGTGGGTGGGTGGATGGATGGGTGGGTGGATGTACAGATGGGTGTATGGATGGTAGGTGGGTGTATATATGTATGTATGTGTGGGTGGGTGGGTGGATGGATGAGTGGGTGGTTGGATGGATAGAAGAATGGGTGGGTGGGTGGATGGGTGGACTGACAGATGGATGGGTGCATCAGTGGTTGGATGGATGGATGGATGGATGGATGGATGGATGGATGGATGGATGGATGGATGCATGGATGGATGGATGAATGGATGAATGAACGCACAGGTGGGTGAATGGGTGAATGAATGGATGAGTGGGTCGGTGCATAGGTGGGTGAATGGATGGATGGATGAATGGGTGGGTGGCTGGCTGGATAGGTGGTGAGTTGGTGGGTAGGTGGATGGATGAATGGGTGGGTGAGTGGATGGAAAGATGAATGGAAGGGTGAGTGGGTGGATGGATGGATTGATGGGTGGATGGACAGGTGGATGAATAGATGGATGAATGGATGAGTAGTGAGTGGGTGGGTGGGTGAATGGATGAATGGATGGGTGAGTGCGTGGAAAGATGGATGAATGGATGGATGAATGGGTGGGTGGGTGGATGGATGGAATAAAAGCGTGAAAACAACAAGCACATATGAAAGCACCTGACACCTAATGGATACCCAACTTCTGTTTGTTTCCCTTTCCTTTTCCTTTTCCTTCTTTCTCAGCTCAGCTTCAACTTTCTGGGAATACGGAAAGCAGTGACCCTGTCATCTAGTGGCAGACATGAAAGCTCTGAACCATCACGGGTTGGGGATGAGGAGATGGGCTGAGTGGCTGTGTGACAGCTCCTCTATTCCTGTTCCCACAGACATCCTCAGGTTCCCCTGTGCTGGGTTGTCTCATGTTTTCTCCTTCAACATGGCCCTGATGTACATTTTAACCCAACACCACCTGACTTGAAAAGATTGGAGCTTCCCACACACTGATTTGTTCCTGGGTCACAACCCCAAGGGAGCCGCCTCCCTAAATGCATTTTATGGCACAAAAATGGGCAGGAAGGGAAGGACGAATCTGCCTCTGAGATGCTGATTAAGTCTGACCCCCGCACTCTCTTCCCACTGCCTCTGCATGATCTGGGGTTTCATCAGCATGTGAGCTGGTGGTTCTTCCGGGTACCTCAGAAACACCTGGAAATTGTCTACAGTGCACATTTCCAGGCTTCACAGCCAGGAGATCTGTTTCAGTAGATCTGGACAGGGCCCAGAATTCTACAGTTTTTAATTTGCATCCTCAAACTGCTTCACAGTGAAGCTGGCACTCCCTGCATGCCCAGGGGATTGTGATGGAGTGAATGGGAGCCCAGGTACCCGAAGGCTCCCTACAGAGCTTTCCATCCAGCTCCCGATGGCCCTGCCTTGGAGGACCCTCCCCGCTGGCCAGGCAGGAGGAAGTGGGCCTTTGTGGGTAACACTCCTCCTTCAGAATGTGGGTGAGCCTGGAGCACCCCCTCCCCACTGCTCCCACATGCATACACCAGAGCTCCCTCTGACTGGCAGAGGAGGGGAAAATGGGTCCAGGGGTTCTGAGCCCAGTGCCCACTTGGGGCTACGGACAGGCCCGCCCCACTCTGGAGGGCCTGTGCCCAAATGCAATATGGATGGGTGTTTCATGGCTCCAATGAAGGATGGCTGAGGCTTCTGCAGAGGCAAGCAGTGGAGCATGAAGGCATCCAGGCAGCCTTTACCTGGTGGGGGCCATTAAGGCTCTGCACTTGGGATAGGGGTGTGGGAGAAAGCAATTAGTGGTGAGGGAAGAGCATGAATCAGCACAGAGTCGGCTCGCTCTAATTGAGCCAACAAGTTTGTCCTGTTCGCTCTGGGCTCCCAGGGGTGGGAGCTGCATCCTTAAATGCAAAGCCCTTCTTCAAGGTGTCAGGGGAGGAAGAAGATTGTCTCCTACCCCTCAAGGGAAGAGAGGGGCTCCTTCCATTCTCCACCCCCACCCAGTGCCTGCCTCCATCCTCAAAACGCTGATTTTCTCTGCTGAAATGTTTGATGTCTTTGGACAGAAGGTTTTATTTTCTTAAGAAAGAGATTTCACATTTCTGGATCGGTGTACGTGAGCAGGTGGCCTCTGTCCGGGCTGCTCTTGTTTTTGTTTTTGTTTTTTTGAGACAGAGTCTCGCTCTGTCGCCCAGGCTGGAGTGTGGTGGCCAGATCTCAGTCACTGCAAGCTCCGCCTCCCGGGTTCACGCCATTCTCCTGCCTCAACCTCCCGAGTAGCTGGGACCACAGGCGCCGCCACCTCACCCGGCTAATTTTTTGTTTTTTTAGTAGAGACGGGGGTTTCACTGTGTTAGCCAGGATGGTCCCGATCTCCTGACCTCGTGATCCGCCCGTCTCGGCCTCCCAAAGTGCTGGGATTACAGGCTTGAGCCACCGCGCCCGGCCCGGGCTGCTCTTAAGGGATCTTCACCGTCTCCATTTCTTTGTGGCTGCATTTTCGCTCCGTCATTTGGAGGAACTCAGCTAGTACCCTCCCCAAGACCGAGTCTGCGGTCTTCAGGGCTTGTGCCTGCAGAATTGTAGCACGATTTTCCAGGAGCTCTGCTTTATCCCCTTCTCTTTTTGCCCTGACATTGTTTCCCTTTAGATGGAGACATTGTTTCCCTTTAGATGGAGACATTGTGACTTCTCTTCTGGGAGGGCACAATAAGATGTCAACTGATTAACTCAATAAAATGTTTCAAAAAATAGGAATTTTTTCCACTAGTCTAATATTTACGTTTTAATGGGGGAACTTTGACGAAAAAAAAAGAAAATCCCGTAATCCCCAGTAGCTTGGTGCTGTCGTGGTGGGAGCCGTGGAGTTGCTAATTTGGCCTGACTGTCCCCCACTTGGTCCCACTACAGTGGGGGCAGCACTGTCTTCCATCTACTTGTGAGATCTGCTGGTTCCAAACTTTCCAAATCCCCAAACTAATGACTTATCTTTCTCTGTTTTCTATTTTTGTTTCCTAGGAACGAGTGGAATATCTCTTTCTCATAATTTTTACGGTGGAAGCATTTTTAAAAGTCATCGCCTATGGACTCCTCTTTCACCCCAATGCCTACCTCCGCAACGGCTGGAATCTGCTCGATTTTATCATTGTGGTCGTGGGGTAAGTATCACTGCCTGTCTCTTTCCCTTTCTCTTACCAGTGTGGCGGGACTTTTCCTTAGGTTAGCTGGAGACAGGGTCCTTGTCATACGGCCACAAAAATTTAGGCTCGCAGATGATTTAGCGAGTGGGAAAAATGAGATTTATTTTGCTAAAGGAACAGAAAGGGAAAGAGAGACTCTCAGCAAAGTGAGAGTGTGCATTTCCTGCCCATGGGCTTCCCGCCTCACAGGCTGAATCTGAGGTTTTACCCAGGAGAAGCAGGGGTCAGGTCTCCCTGCTGCAAACGGTGGCGTGAATGTCTGTGGTTCCACCCCAGTGTGCACTCCTCCCAGTGTGCAGGCTGGCTGGAGTTTCTCTGGGGATCGCTTGCCATTTGGCTGTCTCACCAGTACATCCCTCTTCTTCCTTCTGTAGTATCTCTTTTCAATTTGGTCCTAACTGCTGGCCTTCAGGCAAAAGAAAGGATCCATGAAAATCACTTTGAATTCAGACTTCCCCAGAGAACGCAGGGAGTGTTCCCAAGAACACTCGCCCTTCTGTACCACTCCGCACACTCCTCTCTACCACGTCCCTCACACTTCTCTCGTTACCACTCCACACCCCCTCTACCATCCCACACCCCGTCTTACCACTCCACGACCCCGTCTAGCCACTCCACACCCCGGTTTACACTCCTCCGATCCGTCTTACACTGCCCACACTCCTCTCCTCCACTTTCCCACACCCCTCTACCATCCCACACTCCTCATCTGTACACTTCCACACCCCCCTTACCACTCCCACACCCCTCTACCACTCCCACACCTCTCCCTCTTACCACTCCCACACCCCCTCTTACACTCCCACACCCCTTCTACCACTCCCACACCGCCGCCGCCTTCTACCAACTCCCATTACCCCGTCTACCACTTCCCAGCCCCGTTCTTACCACTTCCCAGCCCCCTCTACCATCCCACACCCCTCTCTACCACTCCCAACCCTCTCTACCACTCCCACACCCCCGTCTTACCACTCCCAACACCCCGTCTACCACTCCACACTCCTCTCGTTTTTATACCACTCCCACACCCCTCTACCACTCCATTCTACCACTCCCACCACCCCCCTCTACCACTCCACACCCCCCGTCTTACCACTCCCACCACTGCCCTCTACCACTCCCACACCCTCTACCAATCCCCACACCCCTCTACCACTCCCACACCCCTCATCTACCGCTCCCACACCCCTCTCTACACTCCCACACCCCTCTCTACCACTCCCACACCCCCCTGCTACAGCTGGCCCACTCTCTTACCACGTCCCGACATCCTCCTCTGACCACTCCCACACTCGCTCCTCTACACTCCCACATCCTCTCTACGCACTTCCCAACCTCACACTCCGCACACTCCTCTCTACCACTCCCACACCCTCTACCACTCCCCCACCCCCTCCCACCTCCACACCCGCTGTAACCACTTGCCCACACCGCCTCCTGACCACTGCGACAGACCGCGCGCGCGCCTCTCTACCGCATCCCACAACCCCTCCTCTTACCGACTCCCACGCAGCCGGCGTCGGGTCTGTACCCACTCCCATGATCCCCTCTTACCACTCCCCCACACCCCCCTGTAGCTACTCGCCACACCCCTGCGCGTACCCTGACCTGTCGCGCAACACCCCTCGTCTACCACTCCCAGCGCACCCCCTGTGCGTACCACTCCCGACACGCGCCTCTCTACACGTCCCAACCCCTGTCGCGTAGCCCACGTCCCACACCCCTGTCTACAGGGTCCACACCCCTCATCCATCCACACCCCTCTCTGACCCAGTTCCCACACCCCTCTTACCCATCCCACACCCCTCTGACCCACTCCCAACTCCTCTTTACCACCTTCCCACCACCCCTCTACTTGACCACTCGCCACCACCCCTCTCTACCACTCCCACACCCCTCTCTAGCCACCCTACACGGCCCTCCTCTACCAGAGCTTCCCACACCCCTCTACCGGACTCCCACCCTTCCTCTCTACACACTCCCACACAGGCACGCACACACCACCCCTCTCTACGCCACGTCGCGCACACAGGCACGCACACACATACCCCTCTCTGACCACTCGCACACAGGCGCGCAGCACACACAGCCCCTGGTCTACCACTCCCACACAGGCACGCACACACACACACCCTCTGTTGTAAGTCCACACCCCTCTCTACACGTCCCACACCCTGTCTACCACTTCCCACACCCCGCTTTACCACTCCTTGGATACTCCCTGTCTACCACTCCACACCCCTTTTTTACCACTGCCGCACCCGCTCTCTACCACCCCCACACGCCCCCTCTCTCTACACTCCCACACGCCCTTACCCTGTCGGCGACGGTCCTCTACCCACGCCGCAGCGACCCTGTCTACCGGACTTCCCCACGCGCTTGGTTACCACCCTCGGCGCACCCCTGCTTACCACTCCACACCTCCTACCACTCGGCACAGACGCGTGCTACCACTCCCAAATGCGCGCGCCGCACCCACTTGCCCACACAAGCACGCAGCACAAACCCGCTCTTGCACCACCCACAACGCACACACAGCACCCCCTCTCTACCACTCCCACACAGGCGCCGCACACACACCCCTGTACCTCCCACAGGGCACGCACACACACACCCCCTTACCAATCCCACACCCCCTCTACCATCCCACACCCCTCTCTACCACTCCCCACCCTCTCTACCACTCCAACCGACAACTCCACCAACCCTTTCTACCACTGCCCACACAGCGCCGCGCACACACACCGTGTTCTTACGACTCCCACACGGGCAGCGCGCACAACTCACAGGCCCGGCTCTTGACCAGCTCCCCACACCCCTCTCGTACCACTCCCACACCCCTCTCTACCACTCCCACACAGGCACCACACACACCCCTGTCTGGCCACTTCCCACACAGGCGTGCTCACAACAACCTTTGACTCCCACACAGGCATGCACACACACACCCTCTCTACCCTCGACACAGCGTGCACAACACCCTTCGCACTCCCACAACAGGCGTGCACGACACACGCCCCTTTCTACACTCCCACCGACAAGGCCGTGCACAACACACACCCCTTTTCTGACCCTTCACCACAGGGTGGGTTGCACACACACACCCCTTTCTGCCACTCCCACACAAGCGTGCACACACACACCCTTCCACTCCCACACAAGCGTGCACACACACACCCTGCCACTCCCACTCAGGCATGCACACACACGGTTGGACCTGAGTGCTCCTAATGGAACCCACGCTGCTCGGTGCCGCTAAGGATATCCTCTTGCTTAAGGACTTCGTGTCATCTCAGACCACATCTGGTCCCGCAGTTCCTCTGCCAGTTTCCCTGCTGTATCACTGAGCACATTTGGGACAGCTCGTCCATGAGCATGCAGTCTGCAGGTGTGGGGTGAGGGTGGGGCGCATGTGGGCTGTGCCTGTGCTCTGGCCTCTTGTTATTTTTGGTCAGCAGTCGCCACCAAACGAGCCTCACTGCTCTTAGGACGGCAGAAATGCCCCGTGCGATGTGCCACCCGAGAGAGCAACTGCAGAGACGAGTTCACGCCCTCCCGGCTCCGCCGCCGCCACCGCCACACCGCGCCCTTCTTCGCCGGCGCGTCTCGCCCCAGCTGTGGGGAAAGGCCACGGCGAAACCCTCCTTCCTCAGCAGCTAGCAGAGCAGTGAGGCCAAGGAGAGCAGAAATTCAGTCCCGCAAGAGACCCAGGAGCACAAGCGCTTCTACCACAAAACCTATTCATACTCTCGACATTCGCACAAGCGAAGCAGAAAAGGAGGCGAGCTGCAGAGCGGCGTGTAACGCTGCACCCTCCAGCGATGGGGGATCGTTACACCACCTCCGATGGAGCTGCCTTAGACACGGGGCGCAGAGTCCTTGTCTCACAGGGCCAGAACCTCTGCTTACCACGTAGCGCCCACTCTAGTAGCGCGCTAGAGCACCACGTCCCAGTGGGCAAGTGCAACCACAGGCTGGGCCACTGCTGGTGGTCATAAACCCTGTGGCTTGGCCCACCCGACGCTTCTTCTAGGACGAGCGCGTCCCACACCAGGCGTCAGCACACACCGCCTGCGGACCCTCCTTTCTAATATGCCCCCGCACTATTCAGACCGCCCACACAGCAGGCGGCGTGCATCAAGAAGCAGCCGACGCTTGCGGATCCACCTCCCCACGGACAGGCGTGCTCACCAGCAGATGGAGAACCTCCTGGCTAACACGGTGAAACCCCTCTCTACTAAAACCACCTACCAACTCATCTTAGCCTGAGCCCTGCCAACACAGCGTGCACACCCGCGCCCTTTCTGCCACGTCTCGCCGCCGAGCGCCCCGGCGCTCGTGCGCTAGACTAACCCCCTCCCACTGCCTACTCAAGGAGCCATCGCGATAGGCCGCGGACGGAGCATGGCGTAACCCGGGAGGCGGAGGCTTGCAGCTGAGCTGAGATCCGCCCACTGTATCTCCCGCTCGCGGCCGACAGAGTCGAGGCTCTGGTCCACAAAGACCAATACACGAAACAGGGAGCACACAACTGGATCCTCCCTCTCTTCATCACAGTAGTGCCAGACAGCACACAACCGGTGATGGACCTGCGCGAGCGGGCGCACTAATGTTGAAACTGGCCGCTGTGGCTCGGCCTCCCAGCAGAGAACACATAGCGGATAGCCGTCTTCTGCTTACATGGAGCTTGTTGTGTCAGTCGATCGAGTCCCTAAGACATGCGTGCCCTCCGCAGATATGCCTCTGGCCGAGTGTCTTCCACGATTGCTGTATCCGGCTGCAGGATTGAGAGCACATTGGGACAGCTCGTCCATGAGCATGCAGAGCATTCTGGCAAGCGGTTGGGGGCGCGAGGGAGCGTGATGCGAGCGCGTACGCGGTGCACTTGTGGAGCCTCCCTCGTGCTTGTCCAATAGGCCCCTGCGCACGAGAGGGCCCACATCCCCATTCTCGCCCAC